GTGTGTCGAGTCAATAGCGAGTTATCGCTAGACGCGTGTTACGCGGTCGTTTGTGTCTCGCGCGCGGTTTCTATTTTGTCGTGCGCGGTTTCTATTTTGTCCTGTGTCGAACGTTCGGCGTGTCGCAGGTGTGTGCAGCAGACCCATCAAGAACTCAATGATGAGTTTGTGATGAAGAGCCCGAGCCTTGGTGTCAAGCCTCAAGTAATTTCGAAGCTTGCCAAAAGGGTACACCTCAAGATATTGAAGATAGTTACATTACTTTGTGTAGTGTAACATTTCACTTGGTGTAGGCCCTAGTGAAGTGTAGTTTCGAGACCCTTCGTGGTTGGGGACAGTGTGGCACTGTTCCACATCACTGTACCTCGGCTCTTGGGGTTTGTAGGAGCTGGGAGTCATTCCCAACTCGTAACTCTTCCTATCTTGTGTTCTAAGACTATAGTGGCTGCCATAGTACCGTTCGTTCAAACCGACGCTGTGTCGTCAATTCTTTATCAAATCGTGCAATCTAAATTGCTAATTGTAGACGACGTGAAGACGCTCCAGATCCAATTTGAATCAAGTCATTTGCAGCTGTGAGCAGAACGCTATCAACGTTTGAAGCCGCTGTGCAGAAATCCGTCTGTGCTCTCTATCTTTCGTTTTAGGCACATTCAAGCCTATTGTGACTATAACAGAAGGGGCAGTTCAAGTGCAGGTGTGCGAGTGGGTTCAAGTCTGTGCAGGGAAAGCCGCACGAGTGTGTCAAGGCTTGAACCTACCAGTTATTTCCTCTACTAATAAGGCCTGTGCGTGCGCGCGATTCTCGCCTAGGAGCATGAAGCAGGCAATAATGCGGTTCGTGAAATATGTGCTTGTTCAGTGTATACGCCAGTTGACAAAATTACTCCCCTAAAACTGCTGCATGGCTGAGTGCTCGAAAGCAGTTTCATGTGCTCAAGAATATTGATTGAAACATGCACATCCAAACTGTCACAGACTGCATGGTTGGCACAGACTGTCACCAAGCTTATAGGTTTCACTTTGATATACTGGAGTATACAATGCTTTATTGGGTGCCGTAAATGGCACCAAGTGTATGTTCATTACTATTCTTAAACCATGGGCGGGAAGTTGGGGTTGGAGACCGGGGAGGGGTGCTACTACTTGCAGACGTTGGGGGAAATACCAAGCTAGGGTTTCAGCACTTGGTCGGTGCAGGCTTGCAGGAGAAATCCACAGTTGTGGAGCCACTGCACAGGGTAGGAGAGAGAAAGAGGGAGTGAGAAGATATTTCAGACAAGGGGGTATTCAAAGCAGCACTACCTCTCTATGTCCCCCAAATTTCTTGCAACGCCTAACAAGGCTGTGGATAAGAATCCTAAAAGTGATTTCGCAGGTTTGTAGCGACTTACTAGTTATCCTTGTGGTCGTCTATGGTGCGTGACCCGCTGCCGGAATACGCCCAGATGATCTTGTTCTTCCCCTTGTACACCACCGTCGCTATGCCTTCCCCATCGGCCTTGCTACGGCCAAATCTGCAGAGGCAAAAAAGGAAGATGGTTGTGTGAGGAAGACACCCTCCTGGGTATTAGAAACAGGAGGTTGGAACGGAAGACAGCAGGCACTTTCCCTCAACATGGCCACATTCTCAACTCTCACATAATCACACGCTCATTCGTTACCGGTATCCTCACACCCCACCCCTCGTACTAACGTACTTCATAACGACGCCACTGCTTGACGTCAGCAGCTCTGGCTGCCCAATGGCGAACCGTGAAGTGACTGAGATCTTGCTCGCACTGTACCCCGATACAGCATAACTCGCTACAGGCAGCAGGCCCTTGACGTTCCCAAGAACGGCGTCAGAAGGGACCATAGAGCTGGAGCCAGACCATCCCACGCCAAACCACCCCCGCTCCGCTCCGCTGCCGGTTTTCGCCTCGACCGCCAAAGCTACACTCGTATCAGAGGTCACTTTCCAATGAAGAAGCAGTCTGGAACGGGGACAGGGTAAAGTGTATAAACGTGGAAAGGGAAGGCATGAGGAAGCACGTGGCTTCTATGGCTCCTGTTAAGCGAGGTTGAAAGGAGAGAAGGAGAAATTGGCATATATGAGCTTACCCTTTGCCATTTAAGTCGACGTAAGAAGTGTAGCCAGCCAGAGTCGACGCCTTGCAGGAGCCGCTGCTACTACCGGAGGTGCTCTTACAGGGGGTGCTCACGGGGTTCATCACATCAGAGGGAGGTGGGGGCGAGGGCGAGGGCGGGGGCGGGGACGGCTTGGGGGACTTCGGGGGAGATTTCGGGGATTTGGGGGGAGATTTGGATTTGGCGGGAGATTTGGATTTGGGGGGGGAGGGGGACTTTGCAGGGGAAGGAGTTGTAGTGGCGGAGGGCGCTTTGGAGGGGGAGGCGGGCGCGGCGGAACCAGAGGCGGAAGAGGAGCCAGGCTTGCAGGAGAAGTCAACGAGGACCCATCCCCTGGGGTAGGAAGGGGCGGCAGAGGGGGAAGGGTGGAAAAGAGGGAGGGGGCGGAAGAAGGGGAGAGGACAGAAGAACGGGGAGAGGGGGACGAAGGGGGGTTGGGGAAGGATTTTCGAAGTATGAAAGGCGAGATGCGAAAGCGGTGCAGAACGATGTAAATGGGTTGTATGACGCCAGAGCGTAGAAGGTCTTGCCGAATCTCGAACTGTATTGAAAGTAGATGCGAGAACGTGTTACTTCTTGCCGGCTTTTGAATCGGCTTGAAAAGGGACGCGAGGGCGAGTTGTTACCTCTTGCCGGCGTGACCCTTGACCTCCTGGCTTCCCTTGGGCGCGTACGCGAAGATGATCTGATTCGGCCCGTTGTAATTGACGGGCACGATTCCGTCGAACTTGCTCCGAGTGAACCTGATCCACACGAGATCACACGAGAGGCGAGAAGGCTTGTTGGTACGCGAGACAAACATGCCGCGGTGGCGAAAGACGACCTTTAAGACGGGGCAGTATGTGAGCGTGATGCTCGAAGAGGATGACAAATGATGTACTACGCGCAGTGGGAAACGCGGAAATGCGAAATGCGATCAGAGAGTGAAGATCGGACGGATCCTGGCAGGAGCAGCTGAACACACCTCACAAGAACGCCGGCGCTGGTGTTGCTCGTGAATTCCGTGTTCGTTATAGCAAACCTCGATGTTGGCTCCACGCCCGACTCCTCCCGCTTCGACAACGCGAATGTGCCCACTGGCGGTGTTTCGTCGTCTTCGTCGGATTTGAAATTCATTATAATGGCATCCGCGGGGTACATTAGACCGGATTTGGACCAGCCTATGGCGAACCAGCCCCTCGCAACACCGCTGCCGGTCTTGGCCTCGACGGCAATATCGATGCTCTGACGGCTTGTCACCTTCCAGTGAAGGTTGAACCTGAAAACAAATATCAAGGGACAGTGTTAGTTTCTGATACACCCGCCTCACAGGCGTAAGCTCTCCTCTCGTACATTTTTCCAGTTCTCTGGCGTTGCAATATTTATTTTTTATTCGCTCCAATCTTTCAGGTTATTGAAGCAAATACGGCTATGAAGTTCCGTTGAACGACTTTGATTTCCATTCTTACCCCATTCTGTTGAATCCGATCGATGACGTGTACCCGCTCAACGTGGACGCGCGGCACGGGGAGACCTCCGCCAAGCTCCTCTGGTTGCCTCGGATTAAAGTGGCTGCTACGTCACCGTGTACGCTTGATGGCGCAGCATGTACGAACGCTGGTAACATCAGGAAGAGAAGGATAGCGGAACACCGGAGTGCCATAGTTCTAATATGGTTGAGCAAAATGTGGGGCTGTTTGCAAAACTGCGCTAGGCGCTTAATCACGGGCCTTAATCACAAACAGCTTTTCGTCCTTTCGTCTGCGCACACTTCTGTAATTAAAATTATGAAGTGGAATTTGGAGGTATAAAGAAACGTGGGACTATCACTACTCTCAGAATGAGGAGCTCTTTGAAGCAAAGACTTCCATGTGGCGAAGTGGAATACAGAGGCTCTTCTTGTTGGCAAAAAGGCAAATCCCGCTCTTGTGCCAGCATGATCGAACCCAAATTGGAGTGTTTCCCTCCCCCGATCGCCATAAATTACATCGCGCCTCGTTGACGCGGCTTGTGGATTTGCGCGGCTTGTGTGCTGTTCAGTTGGCCCGCGGTATTTATCGTTCAACAAACCAAAATTTCAGCACCTCGTAACATTTGTAAGTTAATTTTCATTTTTACGAAGAAGGTTATACCATGGAAGGCAAAGTGCTAGTTTCCTGCGAAACCTTGGAGAATGTTATTCAAGTTTTTTCGCAAACGATCAGCACAATGAACGTGGACGAGTCGAGTGCCCGACACGCGCCGAGGTTGTAATCTGGCGGGAAAGCATTCCTCCTCTATTAGCCCTACAAGTAAGCTTATCGGATATATAGTTCTCAGACAGGATTCGCCATTTAGCTGAGATTCCCTTTTATTTCATAGATGCAGCAGCACCAGCAGCAGCACGAGCATTACATATTATTATAGCTCTAACATTTACTGGTATCCTAGACTGCATCTAGAACAAAAAATCACCATTGATATGCTCCCGTTGCTGGACCGGCCTTTTTCAGACTGCACCATTCTCCATAGAGGACCTGTCAGTGAATGTGCTAGTGATATGTTAGTGTAGTGACTGATGTCGCATGAGCTTCTGGTTGCTTCCTTGCTGCTCTTGCTGCTACTGCTGCTGCTGCTGCTTCCATTGCCCCACTGCAAGTCAGCCTGGTGGTTAGACGACGACCAGAAAGAATCGAGCAGCTTATTTCCTCCCTTGTTGGCTTCGTTCCTCCGGCCATGCATCAAGATGCAGGTGCCTTCTCTTCATGTGCCTTCTTGCTGATTGGTTGGTGCACTAGTCAACCTCATGCACCCACGTGGGTACACAAATGAGGGACTCGCACAGTCGAAGCCACAGCGGCTTTAGCGGATGAATCCACGGTTAAACTTATGAATGCAATCGTCGTTGGGGGTCAGCGGCAAGCTGCCTTGAGGCGAGTGATGAACTCCCGCTGCTTGCCGTCGCTGCGGTGAGGATTATCGAGAAGGAATGTGGAGGGAATAGAGGGTGAGGGGAGGGATACGTTGCTATGCAACAAATCAAAAGGGAGAAGTAGAGAAGGGGAACAAGGTAGTGCAGACGAGGTGTGCTTGCGATGTGCGTGTTTTGTGTGTGCCATCAATACCTGAAGAGTATTTGCGCGTGGTGGTAGCCATCATTGTACATCACATCGACTGGTGTGTTGGCCAGGTAGCTGCAGGGGAAGGTGGAGGAGGGAGAGGAGAGAGGAAGAAGGTGGGCCAAGGCAGCAATCAAGACAAGGTGTCGCAATCCACATCACAGTTGGTGCAGCAACCCCAACCCCAACTGATATTAACACCACAAAACCCACTCCCCACACCACTCCCCCGCTCCACTGCTAGGTTCACTCACTTTCTAATGTGCTCCGAGGGCACGATCTGGTCCTGGCCTGCCAGCATCACCCCTCCCCCCCCCCCTCCCCCCCCATGCATCAACAATGACCCCCCCCCTGTGAGGTGCTCACTTTCTAATGTGCTCCGAGGGAACGATCTGGTCCTGGCCTGCCAGCATCACCACCGAGCGATGCACGGGGATATCGTCCGCCCACACCTGGTATGCGTGCCTGCATAGAGAGGGAGGCCAAGAGAGGGGAGGGCAGAGGGGCAGTGGAAAGGGATGAGTGGATAGGGGTAGGTAGATGCACGGGAATATCACCTGCCCACAGGTGTTCCTGAACATGGAGAGGGGTTGAGAAGAGAAGGGGAGAGAAGAAGGTGCGAGAGGGGGCGTGAATGAGGTGATTAGAAGGTGCTAAGTAATGCAGGGTATGTCGCCCTCCCACGCCTGGTAGGCATGTCGCCCTCCCACGCCTGGTAGGCATGCCTGCGAACTGAGGACGAGGGCAGAGGGGGAAGAGGGCAGATGCAGACCTCACCAGTTGGAACCACCAGCACCACCAGCGTCAGGTACCACCTACCCCAGCTAACATCCAAAACGTAGCAGTGAATGGTTTCACCAGTTGGTTTGAATACCAACAACCCCGGATTACACCCAAAGCAAAGAGCAGTAAGTCACTCTGTCTCATTAGTTGATTCAGATACCACCTATCCCGGGTGAGACTCACCAGTTGGAAGCCACAGCAGAGAGCATGTGCCACGTGCACCAATTATTTCAGATACTACCTTCCCCAGGAGACACCTAAAGCAGAGAAGGCAGACGGCGAGGCTCACCAGTTAAACCCGCGGCAGAGAGCACGTGCCACCTGCACCAGATGATGCGAATACCACCTACCCCGGGTGAGACTCACCAGTTAAAGCCGCGGCAGAGAGCACGTGCCACCTGCAGCTCCCTCCCGCACAGGAACCACCTCACCGCCTCTGCTATCGTATCGCCTATTGAAGGGGAGCCGGGGACCCTGCAGGGGAATCGGGAAGGGGGGAGAAATGGGGTGAGAAACGAGCGAGGAGGAAGCGTGGGAAGAGAGGCAAGCAATAAAGAACATATGCATACGCAGCAGGAGCCAAACTTAAAGTCGTATACAGGAGATTAACGTACTTATAGATAAAATTGAAGAGCACTTTAGGGAGGCAGAGCAGGAAGCATGCGGGATCAACAAAGCCCATGGCGCTGACTGTCTCAGGGCGCTTGCGCACTTGCTGGGGGGCGGGGGGAGGGGGAGGTGGGGGAGAGGAGGGAGAGGGGGGAGAGGGGGAAGATGGGGGAGAGGCGGAGAGGGGAAGGGAGGGGTGGGTGTGACCCAGGGAAGGAAGAGCGATTAATGATAGAACAACGCTTCCCACACGTATTAATATGCAATGTATCCGTACTGTAGAAACGTACCCGAGCAAGCACCAGCGCGCCGTACGAGTGCCCCACGAAGATGGCCGATTGCATGCCGTGGACCGCCATCGCGTCGGTTAGCCCGTCTGCCACGTCATCTATCGTAGGTGATGACGTGGACAGGCGCACTGCCAGGTGTGCCAGCTCCATCACGATGAGCTTCTGAACAAGAACATCCAGAATTAATGAATGGACAATCAATGAATAAAGAACGGACTTTGAGGGAGAAAGTGGGAAGAAATAAAAGAGGCGACACTTGCCATTGACTGCTAGGGTTCATAGGAGAACGTTAGGGGTAACTGGCACCACTTCCAACGAGATTATTTACCTTTTTCGGGTAGCTTCTCGAGAGCATGTGCACGAACGAGAGGTAGGGCGTGAGGCCGAGCCCGAGCCCGTGCACCAGCACCACCCCCTCCTCCGCCTCCTCCTCCCTTGTTACGCGCCCGCCCCTCGCGCCAAGCAGCGGTGCGGTCGGTGCGGCTGACGTGGCGCCTGCTGCTGACGTGTCGTCGAAAATCGGCATCACCGCTGCTGCCTTGTGGGTCTTTCGCTGCGAGCAGGGGAAGCGGGGGGTAAAGGGGGAAGGCGGATGGGGGAGGGGAGAGAGGGGATGGGGGAGCGGTGGAGATGGGTTAGGATAGGGGAGGGCCGACAGTAAGTGGGGGGCGAAAAGGGTGGGATATGGGCGATGGGGGAAAGAGCGAGGGATGGAGGAGAAAGGAGTTTGGAAAAGAGTACAATGCAATAGGGGAAGCAGGCCACGGGGAAAAGGGTCAGCAGGAAAACGCATGGAATGTGGTTGGGATGAGGAGCGATAGTTGATTGGATGTCCACGTCAGCACCGAGAGCACACCTTTGGAGCCGATTTTTTGGGAGCGCGGAACCAGTAATGAATGCCGTTGGGCGCGGTGTGCCTGGTCAACGCAAGTGAACGGAGAAAGGGGGGGGGGGGGGGTTAAGGCGAGTCAACCGGGGTCAACAGAGGCCATGAGAAAGGTCAACGGAGGTCAACGGCAGTCAGCAGAGGTCAATGGCTGTCAACGGCGGTCAACAGAGGTCAAGGAGGTCAGTGGAGGTCAGCGAAGGTCAATGGAGGTCAGCGGAGGTCAATGGAGGTCAACAGGAGTCAAGAGGGGCACGTACTTGGAGAAGCCGAGGAGGCGCATGGCGGCTGCAGTGAGGAACCCGACAATATGGCCCCTGAAGAGCCATGCGGACAGGAGACAGGCGGAGGGGGGGGAGATGGGGAGAGAGTGGTTACTTTAGGTGCTTCAAAAGCGCATGGCGGCGGCGGTGAGGAGCCCGACGATATGGCCCCTGAAGAACCACGCGGAGAGGGGGAGATGAGCGGGCGTTAGGGGGAGATAGCGCGTGGTGAAGCAGAGAACGGGAGAGGGAGGGGGGGAAGATGTGGGGGGGGAGGCAATGGAAAGGGCGGGGGGGGAGAAAGGGGGGGAGAGGGGGGAGATTTGGAGGGAAAGGGGGCGCACCAGACGTAGAAGGCGAGCGGGTGGATGATGGCGCGGAGGGGCTCACGCGTGTGCGCCATGAAGCGCACCGACTCGTCTACCCCCTTCTCCTTCTTCCGCCTCTCCCCCATCCCCTCAGTCCTCCTTCCGCTCGACTCAAATCCCGCCGCATCCCCCCCCTTCTCTCGCCCTCCGCTTCCGCTCTCCGCCTCTTCCTCTTCCCCTTTTCCGCAATCGCTGCTCTTGCTCGTTCGCGGAAGCTGCGCGTCGCTCCAGTTCCTCCCGAGGCTCCTCGAGGACGCCGCGATTGCCGCCGCTTCCAGCGGGCCGCAGATCGCGGAGCCGCCGACAGCGCCGACAGCGGCGTCGACGGCGGTAAGCCTTGGTCTTGCCGCCGCTTCGCTCTCACTCTCGCTCTCCCCCCTCTCGTCCCCTTCCGCTCTTTCGCCTTCCCCCCTCTCCTCCTCCCCAGCCTCGCTCTCCCCTTCGCTGTCGGAACCGAAGGACAGCAGGTCCGGGGGAGGCGGAGGCGGCGCGTCGGGGTCTTTAAAGTGCATTTCTAGGTGCACCTCGGCTCTGTCAACAAGTTCTGGAGAGAAAGGACAATGGGGGAAGGACAGGGTACTTGAGTTGACGTGCGTTGACTAGCGTTGACTCAATAGACGTTCTAAGGCGACTGCCTGACGCGGATGGCAGGAGCTTCAAAGAGAGGGGGAGCGACGAAGAGTTAGGATGAGACGGGACAACGTGAGGTTTGTACGCGTTAGAGACGCTTCGTTACCTTCAACTGCTTCTTGGTAATCGCTCGAAAGTTCGTTGTAGAAGCGGTGAAAGAAGCCGTGCGAGATGAATTGCCGAACGTTTGTACGCGTTAGAGACGCGAGAGACGCACCCATGAACCAGCCCCCCACGAAATCGTTATAATCCGCTTGCTTCCTGATAATGCGAGGGAGGGAAGGGTCAGGTCCAGACGGAGAAGAAGGATAATGGGAGGGAAATGAGAGGTGGGGATAAATAGGCGGATAGAATGTAGAGGCCGCGCGGAAGAGCCCCGACGTAATGCAACAGCGCGCTGACTTGTGCGACGGCGTTGACTTATGCGACGGCCAGGACTCGGTCGAGAAGGATGAGACAGTTTGGCGGCTTGAGCCAGCTGACTAATGAGGTGCAAACGAAAGGGGTTGCGTTATGCAACTGCATTGACTTACGCGACGGCGAGGACACGGTCGAGGAGCGTCGAGATCTCCTCGCGCGATGGGAGCGGGAGCTCCACGTACTCGTCACTGATTTTCTTTAGTTGCTTAGAACGAAACACGAAAAACACCGACTCTATAACGAGCCACACGGCGAGGAGCGCGAGAACAGCGTTTGACGGCAGCAGCAGCGCGCCGATGAGGCACGTCGTTCCAGGCACGGAAGTGAAAACGAGCACTGCTAGCCCCCTGATAGGGAGGAGAGGAGAGGGAGAGGGGGTGACAGGTACGGTATTGGGCTGGTGTTGACGCAGCAACAGCACGCCGATGAGGCACGTTGTGAAAACGACAACTATTACTAGATGGGGGTGAATCAGGAGAATTGGATGGACACGGAGAGGGATGGGGCCGGCGTGTGGGGAAACGGGCGGTACAAGGAGCAGGGCAGAGAATGCGCCAGCGAGAAAGAATGCTAAACCACTCGTTCCAACTGGTGCGAGAGTTACGAAGAATCAGTGGGCAGCACGCCACAGGTTACGCCCAATAGTTAAACTCACTAAACAAACACAACATTAAAGCTTACCACGTCACTGAATAAAACTTGTCCACTGCAGTTTGCTGGAACTGTTGCCAGCGCGCTTTGCGAAATGATTTAATGGCCTCGCACGACTCCGAGTCGTGCAATTTCGCGCGTTTTTCCATAACCGGCCTACTAGAAATGTCTATTCGCTGGGACTGCGACGCGTATCTCGGCTGTGATTGGCTTTGCGGCTGCGCGTGGGGCAGCGGGGGCGGTCGTGGTCGTAATTGCTGCATGTCGGGTTCGTCAGCTCCCCGCGTGTGACGGGACAGAAAAGGCTCCTCCGTGCCGCTCGAGAGGTGCGAGGGTGGAGCCCTCGCTCTCTAATATGAGATGTTGAAGACCGTTCTAACAGAAATACGTATTCTAAGCTGAACAAGAAGCTGCCTTGTGCATTTATCTGCTAAGAGCCCTGGAAAAATCAGGACGGCATGTGGAATGGTGTGAACGAAGGAATACGTCACGGAGTTACGGGATGGAGATGCTGTCTCGTGTTGAACCAGGAATCTAGCATGTATTTTGAGGCATGGTTGGTAAACTATTTCGAATCGAACCGCGTCCTCCGAGGATGCTTGCTCACTATTGGGTGGTTTGAGATGACTGTGGCCGCGCCTTGCTACTTGCGGTTCTTTTGATGCTTTTGTTTTCACTACTGCTTCACCTGGTGAAACAGCTGTGAGGGAAGAAAGCACGAGGCGCTAATTTCGTGCTGCTGAGAGGGGGTGCGATTCGAGCCGCGTTTTGTTGGAGGAGAATTCGGGAATTGTTGAAAGAAAGGTTGGGCGCAGGTTGGGCGCAGCGTGCACTGTTCGTTTGCACTTCGACCCCCACGTTTCTCCGCTGGCCTGCGCGCTTGTCGCAAGCGCAGACAATCCACTCTCGCCACGTGTCCCAGCTTACACAGACCCCCATCCACGCCAGCAGTGACGAAACTCTGAAAGTTCGCGAACCTGGCGAATCGAGCCAAACCCGATGCACGACGGAGCTTGGTGGTTGCTAGACCAAGACGCAACCGACTTTGAAGAGTCTGTCGTTTGTGGTGCCCAAACTGGTCGGCGCTTGGGAGGCTGCCCGAGAATGATATACGTGTGGAGCAACTGCCCAAGCGCGCAGCCGTCATGTCGAGGAAAGAAAGTGCTTTCCAATTGGTAGCGTTACAAGATTTACAAACTTACCGCCTGTTTCGTGGCTGGGCGAGCAAGGTGTGTCAGGAAGGACTCCCTGTTCCTGAACTGCCGTGTGCTTTGTCCGGTTGGTGTGGAAGTTGCGAGCGGGTACAACGCTACAATCACATATCGACGGGATACTCTTCTACAAAAATTCAACAATACTAGAGTGCTACGTTATATTACTGTTCTACAATTTTAGAGCTACTTGAATGTAACACTTAGCTCAACACTCCATAAGAACAAAGGATGGTGGAACACGAGTGGGTCGAGAACGGAAGAGAACACGTGGATGTAAAAAATGGGAGACACAGGGCGAGCATGAGAGGGATGAAGTGTTGATATAACCGGGAATTGTAGTGGATCAGATAAGACTTCCTATGTTATAGGGAGACAATGAAGTCTTGTATTGACGATGATTGAAAGAGAACAAGATTATTATACAATGGAAATAAAAGGATATAAATAGCAATCTAGCTAGCCATGTACTTTGAGGGGTACATTCCCTTATTAACTATATTATATTGCTACAGTAACCGCGACTATTACTCCACTCGACAGTTACCAACAAGTAACTTCCGAGTACGGTTACTGGACAGTCAACAGTCGCGACCGTTGACTAACTTCAACTGTTGACCTTCGGGTGACTCTCGGGCTGCCGCATGCTCTATATGAGTTATCGCGGTACTGGTACAGTAGCGGTGCTTCGTTATGAAGTGGCGCGCTAAGAGAGAACCTCCACGAATGTTATAATAACCTTTCGGTTATTCCAACACACCCCTTCATTCATGAAGGTGAGCCACGTGAGATGTCTTCGAGATCCCGGAGAGATCGGTGCAATGCTGAAACTTCTGACGTGGCCGTTTCTTCGTCAGTTAATCAGCTGACATGTCACCCATTGGGCAATACGTGAGTTTGACCTTGCCTTTATTGATCTCCTCTTTGACGAAGAAGTAACGGAGTGCGATGTGTTTCGTGCGATTCACGAATCCGGGCTTGTTCGCGATCTTGATCGCGGTCTGGTTGTCGCAGAGTAACGCGAAGTGCCCGCTCATCGTCACTTTTGCTTCTTGCATCAGCTCCATCAGGTATAGCCCTTCGTGAACAGCTGCGCTGGCGGCAATGAGCTGCTGCTTCTGAGAGTTCCACGAGATGAGTCCAACATGTTGGAGTTAAAAAATGAAGCCTGTGCGAGAGCGTCTATTGTCAGCATCTCCCGCATGGTCCGCATCAACGTATCCGTGAAGCTGTAGGGTAGCCGTTAAGTTAGCCGTGTAGGTGAGTCTGAAGTCAGGGGTAGAGATGAAGTATTGAAGTGCTCGGCGTAGGTCCAGTAGATTCTCCCCTTCAGGTCGACGCAGGTACTGCTCGAGCTGGCTTGCGACGTAGGAGAGATCCGGTCGACACGTGACAGCGGCGAACAAGAGACACCCCAACTGCTGCTGATAGAGCCGAAGTTTTTTTATGGAGAGCGGCGTGGTGTCGGATTCGTGATTAGGAGGAGGAGTGCGCAAGGGGGTGGTGAGGTTAATCGGGGGTGATTGCAAATTTCTTCGCGAGCGTTTCCGCGTACTTGGCGGCGGAGAGGTGGATGAAGGTGGCGGACTGGGTAATGTTGAGACCCAGAAACAGCATGACGTTGTGGTTGATCGTCATCTCGAGCTTCTCCTTAATGTCCTCATCGAACCGGTCAAGCAGCTCTGTGTTGTCGCCGGTGTAGAGTAGATCGTCGATGTAGGCGACGAAAATGATGAATTTGCCATGTGATTCCTTCCGCTACATGCCTTGGTCGTGCGGCAGCTGAACGAATCCGAGCTCAGTGAGGACGGTGTGCACGTATTGCTGCCAGAGACGAGACGCTTGCTTGATGCCGTAGAGGGATTTTTGGAGGAGGCAGACAGCGCCGTCACTTTCTTCGAAGGCGTGTGGTTGATCGACGAAGATGATAGCGTCGACGAGTGCGTACATGAATGCACTTCCGACGTCAATTTGTTGGAGTGGACATCGCTTGACGGCTGCGATGCATATGAAAATGCGGACCGAGGTGTGTCGTCCGACGGGCGCGAAGGTTTGGTCGTAATCCATTAGGTGGGTTTGCTTGAAGCCGTGCACCACCCATCTTGCCTTATACTTGTCAATTGTGTCAGATTTATATCACTTAGTTACTGTAGGCTATAGTGGGGTACACACTAAGGGGTACAACTTTCTAGGGTTTCTTATTTGTACCCATCTCATTTCTAGTTCAATCATTCCTTGTTCTTTCACATGGTATAGAGCAGGTTCCCTAGTGGGAACGTTTCCTAGGGCCCACCACTGAAAATCGAATTTTTTTTTTCCTGCCCGGAGTGCGCTTCGCTCCTGCCCGAGTCGCGCCGTGTGTTCCTCCCCTGCCCTTAGCGGCCCGTCGCGCTCTCTCTTACGGCCCTGTAGCGGCCCCTCTCACGGCCCCTCGCGGCCCCTTCGCGGCCCCTCGCGACCCCTCTCACGGCCCTTCGCGGCCCCTTCCGGCCCCTCGCGGCCCCTTCGTGGCCCCTCGCGGCCCCTTCGCGGCCCCGTCGCCGCCCTTAGCGGCCCCGTCGCCGCCCTTCGCGGCCCCGTCGCCGCCTTTCGCGGCCCCTCACGGCCCCGTCGCCGCCCTTTGCGGCCCCTCACGGCCCCGTCGCCGCCCTCGCGGCCCCTTCACGGCCCCGTCGCCGCCCTTCGCGGCCCCTCACGGCCCCGTCGCCGCCCTTCGCGGCCCCTTCACGGCCCCGTCGCCGCCCTTCACGGCCCCTTCACGGCCCCTTCACGGCCCCTCCATGGCTCTTCGCGGCCCTGCCGCCCTGTCGTCGCCGCCCCAGCAGCAGCTGCCGTCGCTTCCGCTGCCGCCGCTGCTGCTTGCCGCTGCCGCTGTCGTGACGGCCCCGCGCGGCCCACTTACCCGCTGGCGCGGGTCTCCGCGGCTGTGCCGCCCCTCTGTTGCGGCCACGCCCCTCCCTTCGTCGTGGCCTCCGCCTGCAGCAGCTGCCGAAGCGGACCTGCAGCAGCTGCCGCCGCCGAACCTGCGCAGCAGCCGCCGCCGAACCTGCAGCAGCAGCCGCCGCCGGACCTGCAGCAGCTGCCGCCGCTGAACCTGCAGCAGCTGCCGCCGCCGAAGGAGGTGCTGCCGCAGCTGCTGTCACTGCTGCCCCGGCCCTGCCCTGCAGCCGAGCCGCGGCCCAGCTTTGCCGCCTCGTTGCGGCCCCGACCCTGCCCCCGCACCACGGCCCGTCCCTGGTAAGCACACCACCGAGCCGCGCCGCCCTGCCACACCGTGTCGCGCTGCTGCTGCTACTGCTAGCCTACTGCTACTGCTGTCATGGCTAGTCCTACTGTGCTTACCTTTGATGCTGAGGGTCGGGTGGTCGATTTCGATGTCTGGGTAGATGACCTGCAGCTTTTCCTGCAGTGCGATAGCAAGGACGGTATTTCCCTGTTCGATCTTACGTCTGGTGTCTCTACCGCCCCTGCTGCCGATGCTGACAGTGCTGTTCGCTCGCAGTGGACAACACGCGATGCTGCTGCTCGCCTTGCTGTGCGTAGTCACCTGCCCACCACTGAGCGCGCGCATTTTAGTCAGTACAAGAGCGCTAAGACCCTGTACGACGCTGTAGTTGCACGCTACTCCTCCCCTGCCACTGCTGCTCTTAGCCACCTCATGCTGCCGTACCTATTCCGTGACCTCGCTGCTTTTGCCACAGTCGCTGACCTCATTACGCACCTCCGCACTAGTGTCACCCGCTACTGCGCTGCGCTTCCTGCTGAGTTCTGCGCCAAGAACCCCCCCCCTATGTACATCACCCTCTACTACCTAGTCACCCGACTCCCTGACTCCCTTCGCTCGGTCAGGGACCACTTCCTCTCTGTTTGCCCCACCACACTCACCGTTGACCTCCTCGAGGAGCGCCTCCTTGCAGCTGAGAAGAGTATAGTCGCTGTAGGAGCCTCTCGTGGTGACCCTCGTGCCCCTTTCTTTGAGGGGTGCTCCCCTGTCCCCCTTTTGCCCTCTGTTGCCTCTGCTGCTGCTGTCGACCTCGTTGGCACCGAGTCGG